AAAAAAAAAAAAAAAAAAAAAAACAGCAAAAAAGAAGAAGGTGAAGGTGCCGGCAGCCATAGCCGAGTTGAGGGGTTAACCGGGCGTTGACCAGACCGTTGACCAAAGGGTTGACCAAGGGTTGACCAGCGGGTTGACTAGGCATTGACCAAGGTGGTTGACCAAGCGTTGACTGGGGGTTGTCCGCGTTGACTCAGCGTTGACCAAGGCGTTGACCGGAGCTGCTGACCAAGATTTTGACCAAGCTGGAGTTGGTGATATCTCGTGGACCCTTCAGCCTATCCCCTTACCCTGTGGATGTGCACTTACCCCACGGTACTTGCTGAGTCTGTCTGTCTACTCTTTCTGCATTGAGTCTCTTCTGTCCTAGGTGCTAGGACTCTCTGGATGAAGGACAGGGCCTTGCTGCCAAACCTGCACGGGCTTAGTAGGACCAAAGCTTTACTCTGGCATCTGGAGACCTGGGCATGAACGGCGAGCGCTCGTTAAACAACTCGTCTAGCCCAATGACCGGTACTATCCGGCAGGCCTACTGAGTTCAGTGTAAAGGGTCCGAACTCCGAGTTGTGGGCTGAAACGAAGGCCGTCTTTAAGTGTTGAGGCCTGGTTGAACCACTCCCCTACCGGACCTAGTAAGGCTGCTGACGACTCGACTGTCCCGAGGGATACGAACCCCTCCAAGGACCGGTACAGACTGGCGGCTGCTCAGTGTGGCACAGTAGGCCGGAACGACTGAGTTGTGGGCTGAAATCGCCAGGAAGAACTACGCTGATCACGTCGTCCTGACTGCGACGTTAAAGAATTCTTGAGGAGTTTGGGGGGATTCCTTAAATGCCTCCTGATCAGTTGTTAGTTCAGTAGTGACAGCCTTAAGAGTAGTTGTGAGTAGCGGATCCTAGAGAGTCAGTTAGTAAGGCAGTGTGTCCGGGTAGGTCTAAGTGGTAAGGAGTGGGACTCTGTCGTGCACCAGACACCACGATGGACGGCTATCCGATGCATGGGTTGCTCGTTGGGTTCTCCCTCTAGGGGACCCTCTGGCGTCTCCTCTTTCCTCTGGGGTTCTGGCGCGCGATGACGTGCAGAGTAGATACCCAGGGTGGTACCTCCACCACGCCATACACGAAGGAGGAGGAGGAGAAGATGGCCGCCATCTTGCAAGAGAGGAAGGAGAAGAGAGAGGCCAAGAAGAAGGCCCTACAGGAGGAGCAGGCGGCCAAGTTGAGAAAGATTGAGGAAGAGATGGCCAGAGAGAAGGAGAGAATCATGAAGGAAGAGGAGGCGAAGTTGAAAGAGGTGGACGAGGAAGAGGAGGAAGGACCGCCACTGCAAAAGAGGAGTGGACAGTACAGTGGCAGCAAGGATGAAGAGATGGAGAAGCGGATTTCAGAATGGGTCGCCAACTTGTCCCTGGGTGAAGAGGAAGAGGTTGCTATGTACATCCCCAAGGATGAGCAAGAAGCCGCCATGAGAAAATGGGAAGCAGAGGAAGATGTTCTGATGCGGCGGGCGATGGAGGATGAACAAAGGATGGCATGGAAGCTCGCGATAATGAGGGAGAAGAAGAGAAGAGTGGAGGCGGCGAATGCAGCAATACATGAACTGGAGGAGGTGCAGAAATTGAGATTACAATTGACACCCCAGGTAGATCTCGAGCGGAAGGTGGAGATCATCGCCCAGAGCGTCGAGCGTTTAGCTGAAGTGCAAGAAAAGCACTCTGAGTTTAGTCGCAGCCAGGAGATATCTGTGCGTTCGATGCGAACGGGATTACAGGACTTTGCGCGCGAGTTAGTAGGCGCTGTGGGGTCCGAGGTAAGTCACCGCCTCGAGAAGACTGAGCGTTTTTGTGTCGGCACCATTGAGGGCGTCAAGGTGGCAGCGCCCAAGGAGGAGGAGGCTCGCCCTCGCAGGGAGCCAGTCAAAGTCAAATTCCCTGATTCCTACAGTGGAAAAAGGGACGAGAACTTTGACAATTGGGAGGCCAATGTCAGGACCTATGTGCATCTGCAACAGGTCTCCCCGGATCAGCAGGTCCTAATTGCGATCCACGCACTTAAGGATGAGGCCGCCAGTTTCGCAAGGTCCCTTGTGCGTGCTGCCAACTGCAGTGACGATCCGGTCGCGTACTCCACATTCACCTCCCTCGTTGAGTTCCTGAAGTTGCTGGGCGAGCGATTTGCTGATGTCGCCCGTAGTGTCAAAGCCTCAGATAGGCTTCAGACAATACACTCGCACCAATGGAAGAGTGCAAGGGCACTCAAGGGCACGATGGATGAGTTAGTGTCTGTCCCTGACCACAAGGTCACAGAGACCCAGTTGGTCAACCTCTTCTACCGGGCTATGCCCGAAGCGCTGCGTGGTCACTTCTTTGCGAAGAGTCAGGACCCTGCTATGACTTATGATGCACTTAGCAGGGAAGTGGTCGTGTTCGAGGCGAGGTCTGCGTCGATTTCCACTTTCTGGCACAAAGATTTAGACAAGGGCAAAAAGTGGAAGGGTCGCACTATCTCAGGGCAAGTGAAGACTAAGGATAGCCTTGTCCTAACCTTAGATGAGGGTAGTGTGGACGAGATCCCCTACGATCAGATTGAGTGGGGGTTAGAGGAGGAGGACAGCGGTGTGGGCCAAGGGAGATCTTACGCTGTTGTGGCGGCCGGAGGGAGGCCGCAAGGAGGAGGACGAGGCCAGGGCCAAGGGGGCCAGGCCTCAGGGATCCGGTTCCAGGGCGATCAGGGGGTTGGCGGCAGAGGAGGAAACCGCCAAGCGGGAGGCAAGGGTCAAGGTCCCCCGCAAAACCGTCCTAGGAACAGGTCTCCCTATAGGGTAGGAGGATGGCACCCGGGGCTACCGCAGGGTAGGCCTTGGGAAACTTTGGGTCTGGACCAGACTCTATGGCAACAACGATTGGACCGGGGCCAGTGCATTTTCTGCGGTGACCCAGGCCACATCATCAAATACTGTCCTAAGTATCGAGAGACCCGAGCGGCTGCCCAAGGGCCAAAAGGCAGCCGCCGGTAGGGGTAGCAACTGCCCCTACCACTAGGCCATGTGGGGAACATAGCGCTAGCCGGTAGGAGACTCCCACACCACATGTGCCTATGGCAGAAGTTGCAGGCCGGTGTCTAGATAGCTGTCTCGAAACTGCTTGTGTTATGCTAGACACCTCCCTCACAGGCGTGGCCGAAGAGTTGAAGGAGAGGATGCCCGCCTGGGCCAAGATGAAGAAGGAGAATAAAGGGCAGCTTATATCACTAGATACAAAGATTTTTAGAAGTAGAGTAGGGGCCCTAGTAGACTCAGGGGCCACCCACAACTATATTAGTAAGAAAGCGCTGCAAAAGTTGAAGCTGGGACTTAAAGTCCAAAAGCTAGCAGACCCTATAGTTAGTATCCTCGCGGACAACCGGACCATGGTTGTAGAGGATTACGTAGAGGGAGTCCAAGCGTACTTCCGCCTAGAGAAGGATGGGAAAGTGGAAAAGGTCCTCCACTCCCTGACTCTCCTCGTAGAAGACAGCCTCCCATTTGATATTGTTCTGGGAATGGATTGGGGAGAGGCAGCCGGGGCCATGCTCCATTTGAAGGAGCACGAGTGTAGGCTCCCTAGTTCTTCAGGCGAGGCTAAGACTGCCCGCCTGTTCCATGCGTCAGGAGTAGAGAATTCCTTGGCGCATTGCTGCCTTAGTGCTCCTGCGTTCGCCAGGTTGGTGAAAAAGGAGAAATTGGAAGAACAGGTTTTCGTTGCCTATGTTAGGCCAATGACTGAGCCTAAGGAAGAAAAGCCTATAGACCCTGCGATTGCCAAGCTGCTGGAGGAGTTTAAGGATCTAACTGAGCCGCCGACAGGAGTATTACCGCGGCCCATCCAGCACCGCATTGAGATAGAGCCTGGCAGTAGAACTCCTAAGGGCGCTGTGTATAGGATGTCCCCACGGGAGTTAGAGGAGCTTCACAAACAATTAGACGAGCTCCTCGAGAAGGGTTGGATTAGGCCCAGTTCGTCTCCTTTCGAAACGCCTGTTCTCTTCGCCCCTAAGAAAGAGGGAGAGCTGAGAATGTGCATAGACTATAGGGGTCTGAATGCTATTACAGTAAAGAATGTTGAGCCACTGCCTAGGATAAACGATCTCTTAGATCGAGTGCAGGGGGCAAAGTATTTTTCCAAGATAGATTTGAAGTCCGGATATCATCAGGTAGAGGTGCATCCTGATGATTAGTATAAGACAGCCTTCCGGACTAGGTATGGGCATTACGAGTTCAGAGTGATGCCCTTTGGACTAACCAATGCGCCAACTACGTTCCAGCGTTGTATGAACGATTTGTTTAGGCCGTGGTTAGACAGATTTGTTGTAGTTTATCTGGATGACATTCTAATGTTTAGCAGGACCCTCGAAGAGCATCAGGGTCATCTCAGGCAGGTCTTGGAGAGGCTGAGGGAAGCTAACTTCAAGATCAATGCAAAGAAGTGCGATTGGGCGAAAACCCAAGTTTTGTACTTGGGCCACGTCTTAGACGGAGACGGCGTTAAGCCAGAGGATAGCAAGATCGCAGCGATTAGAGATTGGCCCACGCCACGTACGCTGACAGAGTTGCGCTCATTCCTGGGCTTAGCTAATTACTACCATCGCCGCGCCCCTACGCATATTGTTGAGGAAGGAAACTATCTGGAAGTGGGATAAGGACTGCACGACTGCCATGAAAAAGTTAAGGCAGGCATTTATAAAGTATCCAGTCCTTAAAGTCGCCGACCCGTCCTTGCCCTTTGTCGTCACGACCGATGCGAGTCAATACGGCATAGGTGCAGTGTTACAGCAAGACGATGGCAATGGGTATAGACCCGTAGAGTTCATGTCCGCCAGAATGCCTTAGGAGAAGGTCGCGACATCTACCTATGACAGGGAACTCTACGCTCTCAGGCAAGCCTTAGACCACTGGAAGCACTACTTGCTTGGGAGGCACTTCAAAGTCTATTCTGACCATGAAACGTTACGATGGTTAAAGACGCAGGCCAAGATGACACCTAAGCTAACTAGGTGGGCCGCCGAGATAGATTAGTACGACTTCGAGCTCAAGCCTGTCAAAGGGAAGTACAATGTAGTCGCGGATGCTCTGAGTAGAAGAGCTGATTATTTTGGGGCAATAGTACATTACCTCGATATAGGGAAGGACCTGCAACAGAAGGTTAGAGAAGCTTACGCGCAGGACCCTATCTATAGTGAGCTCCTTAAGAAAGTCAAGGAGGCCCCGGAGACTGAGCCGAATTACCGCACTACTGAAGGGTTGCTTTTTGAGAAGACTAATGTGTTTGACCGCCTGTGCATCCCCAATAGCGAAGAGATTCTTAATCTGATTTTGGGCGAATGCCATGACACAGAGGGTCATTTTGGTTGGCAAAAGACTTTAGCCAATTTGATGCGCGCGTATACCCGGCCAGGGATGAAGAATGACTGCGTAGGGTATGTTCGCAGTTGTAAGGTTTGCCAGCGTAACAAGAGTTCTACGCGCGCCCCGCTAGGCCTTCTCAGACCCTTGCCCATTCCGGACCAGGCGGGGGACTCAATGTCCATCGACTTCATGGACACTCAAGTCAAGAGCAGGCATGGCAAGAGCCAAGTCATGGTCATAGTTGACCGATTTAGTAAATATGCAGTTTTTGTTCCTTTGCCTTCAGAGGCACGTACCGATTTAGTTATACAGAGATTCTTTGACTGTTGGGTTAGTGAGAATGGAATCCCGCTGTCAATAGTTAGCGATAGAGATAGTCGCTTCACCAGCCAGAACTGGCAAGAACTCATGGGAGTGTATGGATCTAAGTTGTTGATGTCGTCCGGCCGCCATCCTGAGACTAACGGTCAGACAGAACAAATGAACAAGATCCTACAGCAAGTTCTGCGCATGTACATTAGGCCAGATCAGATTAACTGGGATGAGATGCTGCCTAAAGTAGCTAGTGCGTACAATAACAGTGTACATCTAGCCACCTGCCGCACTCCCGACGAACTGCACAAGTCCTTTAGACCGCGCAGACCTTTTGAGGGACTCAACAGGGATCAGATTCAGAGATTACCGCCCGGGACCAGGGAGTTTGCTATACAGCACGAGAAGGAACTAGCTACTGTTGTCGAGAACCTCAAGATAGCCCAGCATAGGATGATAGAGCAAGCGAACAAACACCGTCGCCCTTCACAGTTTCAGGTAGGCGACTTAGTCTGGAATAGTTCTAGAGAGTTTGCACCTGAGGAGAACATCTCGCAGAAGTTACTGCCCACATATAGAGGACCGTGGCCCGTTCTAGAAGTCAAGGGCGGCGAAGATGGACCGTCCTATACTATAGAACTCCCAGCACACCTCCACGCTTACCCAGTCTTCCATGCATCGAAGTTGTTACCTTGTCAAACAAGTGATCAGTTTCCATCCCGTAGATCTATGATTCCGCCCGACATGGATGGAAGGAATGACATCGATGGCATAGTTGCTGAAGATGTATTCCGACCTGGAGGTAGGGGTCGTCCACAGAAACAGTACAAGGTTCATTTTAGCTATCAAGAACCGGAAGACGACCGCTGGTTTACAAGATCTGAACTTCTAGAGACAGATCCCGATATAGTCCGAGCCTACGAAAGACAGCAGAGGGGTAAAGGTCCTGCCTTGGACTGAAATTTTCTCGGAGGACCTCGAATTTAGGACGGCGGGAGTGAAACGGTATTCACCGGTTCGCAATAGCGAATGCAGATCCCAAGGCTCGATCCCTAGTTCCCCATTTTACCTGTGTACAATATTGATGTCAACCCGTAGATTTGAACCTGCGACCTGTCGAAACGCCAGTGGTAGGTAGATTGTCGTAGGTCACAGCTTAGAAGGGAATCGAACAATAGACTTGTAGGGTAGGAGTCTAGACAGTTCCGAAGTCGTAGTTGTAGGATGTCTGAAGGGTCAAGGTCGTAGTTGCTGTCTTACCTAAAGAGGCAAAGTCGTAGCCGCTACAGCACCGAAAGGCCAAGTCAGAGGTTTCTAGAAGTGGCCTTTCGAAGTGAGCCTACGTTGAACAGAGGCAAGTGGTCAAGTGGTGGTAGGCCACCCTGCTGAGTCAACAGTCCCAGTTAGGCAGTCCGGTCCTGTCCAACAAGTACCGTCTGGGACTGTGTGCACCAAGGGCCAAGGGACACAAGGCAGACCAAAGCAGCGCAAAAGTATAAATCAAGAGGCTGCGTCCAACCATTCATTTATTCCTGCGGATGCCATGCGGAAACGCTGCCTCAGCAGCTTGTGCGAGGAGGTCTGCAGTGTGCCCGAGGACGAAGTGGGCAGAGAAGCGTAGTGTAGCGATAGGGTAGTGGCAGCTAGCGCTGCCATAGCTGTAGCATAGGGKATGTGTGTGTTGTGTATGGATACTGAGTGTTGCGTGTGGGACATCCAGGGTGATCCAGAGTGCGAACAGTGAGTTGTGTGGGCGCCCAGTCGCCATAGCCAGTTGGAAGAGAACTCTTATCTGGTCACGATATCTTTGAGTACTGTGTGGGCGCATGTCGCCAGTTTGTTGTATCGCTGTTTGCATGCATGACGAAGTGTGAATAAATCGAGTCTGATTCCATAGACAGGCAGGGTAGGCCTAAGGGACGACGGTTCAGATGAGACCCATATGGGCCTGGACCATGGCGGTTCAGGCAGGCCCAGGCCAAACGGCCACAAGGCCGCTACCGGTCCAGCCTAGGACCTACCGACAACGGTTCAGAAGCTGCCACAGTTTAGGCGCCAACCAGTTTCAAAACTGGACCGTTGATCTAGATCAACGGTCCAGACCGGTAGGTACCAGCGTGTAGGAGGCCGGCCCAACACTACAAAAGGCTGGGTACCAGCCTCAGTCCGGTAGGTTAGCAGGTAGAGGTTAGGCGCTCTTCAGATTAGCGCAGCTTATCAGGATTAGCGCAGCTTCTCCAGATTAGCGCAGCATTTCATATTAGCGCAACTTCAGCATTAGCGCAACTTTCAGCAGCGCCCAGCGGGAGACCGGAGCAGCGAGACATAGCGGCAGCGGCGAGGCAGGACTGGCGCAGCACCTACAACGGCAGCGCCATAGCTACCTCTACGGTACCAGAGAGAAAGGCCTCGCCCTTCTCTCTCCTCCTCTACCCCCGCTCCCTCTCTCTCTCTTCCCCTCTCTCTCTCTCTCTCTCCTTCTACTCCTCTAAGTCTAAGTCTGGGTTCCGGACTACTATGAGTATGGGAGATGGTTACGAGTTCTGATGACATCTGAGACAGCGACATTGGGACTAAGAGTTGAGGACTATTTGGGATCTTATTTCATCTTCCTTCTGAAGATGTACCTGACATTGTGAGATCGATATCTGAGATATTGTGAGACTTGACATTCGCGACATTTCGGATTTTCGTCAGTTCTGACGATTCAAGATACTATCTTTGGAAACATGACATCATCTCCCCTCTCCTCTCTTTCGTCTCTCTCTCCTCTTCCCCCCTTCGTTTGTGGATGATCTCAGTCCCTGGCCCTTCGTCTATGTCTGAGGCCAGGGCATTCACACCCCTGATGAATGTTTGAGAGTGTTCGATTGCAGTCCGAGTCAGGTCTGAGTTAGTCCAAGGTATCTCAAGTCTTCCGCTTGCATTTGTATCAACTCTGTATTATCTGGTCAGTTATGGGAATCTGCGCCATACTTATGACTGTGTTTCACGAGTACGCAACAAGTAGACTTATCTTTTAGAGTAGAAGTAGATGGAACAAAAGTACATGCACTTAAAGTAGAGTTATTTTCCGAGGTAGAAAATGCAGCAAAAGTAGAAGGCACATGGATAGGCTTTACAAGGGCTACATGCACATGCTCACCTTCTTCGCGTGTGCGCTCTGATCTGCAGAATTTGCTCGCACACAAAAGAGTCATTGGGGACTCGTGCATCACATCCAGCAAGATGGTACGGTCGTTCCCTTGGCGTCACGCACCACGAACTGAGCATCCGCCCACGTGGTCCTTAAAAAATGGGCTTTAAACCAGCCCAAACCAATGACCGCATCCAAGGGATACTTAGTGAGGACAGAGAAATTCAACTCATGTGTGACAGTGCGATCTTTGTCAAA